CGTAGATGTATACACTCTCTGTCTTCCCTTAAACTAAGAGATTAAAATCACTTCATATCTTTCTTTCTACGAACTAATTCTTTCTTCCTGTACTATTTCCTTATATGCAACCTTTCTTCTACACATTACCACCATTGAATTGACTACTTCTATGAATCCGATGTTCATCTTGCTGTGCTAATGCGGTATGGTAACTTGGACTGATGTACATTTGTGCCTGGTCCCACGTTGTAGCTGACTGACTGACGGACTGTGAATAAGTCCATTCAGTTATTTTATATGATAGGTTTTAGAAAATCTGATTTATCAATCATTATTTGACAAGAGATATGATACTTAGTAAGCTGAAATCATTCAAAATTACAGTACTTTAACATATTAAATATTCAGTATGGGGATTTGTGGAAATTTTGGTATTTTAACAATTGGATTCACGAGTCGATTAAAACTAGTCTATCATGGAAAACCTGGAAGCACTGGACGGCTGTTTCGTTCTAGTACGGAAATTCTCAGAAATGCGCTTAATGATCTAGAGGTTAGCCGTTCGCACAAGCTAAATCGAAAGTCCTGGGTTCGATTCATACATTCGAGATCGTGGATGAACATTGATAAGGAGTTTCATAGTAAGACAATACGGCCGTCCACTGTTTAAAAATTTTCAATGGTAGTATAGCTTAGATTGATTCGTGAATTCAACCATTAAGATTTAATTTCAATGGAATAACTGAATTGATCAACCTCATAATTTATTCACTAGATTAATCTTGAAAATACCAAGTGACTGAATACTACAAAACAGAATCATTAGACGACTAATTAATTATATAAACATTGATATGCCAATAAGAGACTGATCAATTGCAGACCTTAACATCAATGACAAGATTCAAGTAAACAAAGTCAAATGAATTTAAACTTCATTATATTGAAAAACAAGTGGCTGTCAAGACTTAGTAGCTAAGTGGAGAACGCAATGGCATCTTGAATCGAATGGTACTGGGTGCAAGCTTCAGAGCGAACATCAACTCTGAGATGCAAGTACATGCAGCTGAAGAGTCCGAAATAGGACGAAACACGCGTCAAACTGAATTCCACAACTACCAACTATACATATTTCCTTATAAAGCTTGTGACTTCAGGCAATATCGAGGCAGTTCATACAGTATACATATATATGCCAACAAGAAACTGATCAATTGCAGTCCTAAATAACAATCGGAAGATATAAGTAAACAACACCAAATTGTATATAACTTCACACCATTGCACAAACAAGTGGCTACCAGTATTCAGTAGCTAATTAGATAACATGATAGGATTTGAAACGAACGCTAGTAGGGATCGAGTTCCAAAGTGAACTTAAACTCTAAAATGCAGGTAAATTCATCAGATAAGTCACAAATAGAATAAAACATGCATCAAACTAGATTCAACGACTACTTACTATCTATTTCTTTCTTCTTAAAATGAAACATTATTATATTCATAGCGAAAATATTCAGCCAATATAATATTCACTATGAGTTATTTAATAGTTACTGTCTAACAAAAATGAAATCAAAAGTACTTCCTTTTTATGAGTTCCGTCTATTTACCTTTTTTTTTAAATTCCGTCATAAAATTCTATTCTATACTTATCGGTATGATAAAACTTAATTTAGAATATTTAACTTAATAAAACAAGAAAAAAGAAAGAAACAACAACAACAACAACAACAACGACAAAACTCCTTAATCCATTTAGTTAGTTTCACTTTTGATGATGAATTCTTTTAAAGATTCAATTGCCGAAAAACTATCATATTTTTCTTTTTTCTTTTTTTCTTTTTCTCTTTCTTTTCTTATTTTGTAAAGAGAGAGAGAGAGAAAGAGCAAAAAAGAAAAAGAAAATGTTCGTTATTAGTTTGTTATATGCTTTTTTCTTTTTCTTTTTTTGCTTCTTTTTCATCTCTCAAAGAATTATTAATTATTAATGGAGTTTTATTGTTTGTTTGTTTTTTGTTTTTTTTTTAATTATTTTTCACTTATACTTATGCTCATTTGTTCAGAATTTTTTATTTTTTTTATTTTTTATTTTTTGTTGTTGTTGTCGTTGTTGTTGCAATTTTTCACTCCATAATTGTTGTTAGTTTAGAAATTAAGATTCATTTATTTCTGTTTATTTTATTTTACCAGAGAAAAAAGAAAACAAGAAAGAAGGATGTTAAAAATTTAATTATAGGGATTATATTTTATTCCTTTCAGTATTTATTATGATTATTATGGGTGTTGTGATTGTTTTATGTTATTTATTCTATCTAATAATAATAATTATTATTTTAATAAAATATTATCATTAAAAGAAAAAAAAAAGAAATTCTAAGCAATGATAGATAGTGATTGGTAGTGGAATCTAGTTTCATATGTGTTTCGTCCCATTGTGTTACTCGTCAGATGAATGTACCTATATCTTAGAGTTGATGTTCATTCTAAGATTCGAACTCAGTGCTGTTCATATGAAATACTATCGCGTTCTTCACTTAACTACTGAGTTTCAATAGTCGCTTGTTTGTACAATGAGGTGAAGTTTACATTTATTTGGTGTTGTTTTACTTGTATTTTTTTATTGTTATTTAAGACTGTAATTGATCAGTTTCATTTTAGTAAAATATTATCATTAAAAGAAAAATCAAGAAATTCTAAGCAACGATAGATAGTGATTGGTAGTGGAATTCAGTTTAATACGTGTTTCGTCCTATTTTGTTACTCGTTAGATGAATGTACCTCCACTCTAAGATTCGAACTTGGTACAGTTCGCTTCAAATGCCATTGTGTTCTCTACTTATTACACATTATATTCACAAAACAATATTTTTATTATCTCAATTGACACGATGATATTCTCCTACTATGCATTTTATTCACACGATTTTCATTCATTTTCATTTTTGCTATGTTACTATTCTACTGATTGTGACTGGACACTTTACTTCAGATCATTCTGACCTTTATTAAATGACTTTTCTAATTTACAAATATCACAATTTGGGAGTATATATATATATTGTAACAGATGCAAACGTTCATCATTTTTAACATAGAAAATTTGTCAAATTCATTCATACATGCTTTACTTTAGCCTTTGTATAAATATCATCATTATGGACAATATAACCGTCGAACCTGATGATGAAGTTATTGAAAACAGTTGTTCAATCAAATATTCTTCAGTTTTCAATATAATCTGTGGGGATTTTTAATCTTCTGTATAAGATAACCAATTGTTTTGTAAGTCAATACAGTGAGCACCCATAATCTCGCATGTGGAGGAGTCTTATACTAGGACGAAACAGCCGTCTAACGCTTCCAGGTTTTTCATGGTGATCTAGCTTTAATTGATTAATGAATTCAACTATTAAAAATTACTAAAATATCCATGAAACCCCATTCTGACATTATTATTAATATTGATATAATTATCAATCTTTTTTGAATGTCTACCGTGTAAGTCAAGATTATTTATTTAATTACTCCTGTTACTTCTAATGCAGCAAAGGACGACGACCAGCATTCTCAGACCCACTCAGTCCTGGGCTCTCTTTTCTACTTGTATTTATTTGTTGTTCATTCTTCTCTTGCCTGTCTCTATTTCTAGGCATAATGTGTTCTTTGATCTTCCTCTTTTCCTTTGGCCTTGAGGATTCCATGTGAGGGCTTGCCGTGTGACACAATTGGGTGCTCTCCTCAATGTGTGTCCTATCCACTTCCAGCGATTCTTCCTGATTTCTTCCTCCGCTGGGATCTGGTTTGTTCTCTCCCATAGTAGGTTCTTGCTGATCGTATCTGGCCAATGGATCCGAAGTATTTTGTGTGGACAACTGTTAATCAACACTTGTATCTTCTGGATGATGGTTTTCGTAGCTCTCCAAGTTTCCGCCCCATACAGTAGAACTGTCTTGACATTTGTATTGAAAATTCTGACCTTGGTGTTGGTTGACAGTTGTTTTGAGTTCCAGATGTTCCTCAGTTGTAAATATACTGCTCTTGCTTTGCCGATCTGCTCCTTCACATCTGCATCAGATCCAGCGTGTTCATCAATGATGAAACCTAGATATGTAAATGTTTTTACATCTTCCAAGACTTCCCCGTCAAGTATGATTTGATTGGTGCATATTGTGTTATATCAGAGAATTTTGCTTTTCCGTATGTGTATGTTGAGAACTACTGCTGCTGAGGCTGCTGATACACTAATCGTCTTCTTCTACATTTTTTATTGCGTGCCAGATCTTTCACGCTAGTTTAGATAGGAATCGCTAATTAGGTCTCAAATATTTTTCTGAATATAACACTAGATTTGTACACATCAACAAAGACCATTAATTTCCAAAAAAAGTTGATCAATTTAATTATCATTACAAGTTGTGATTCTGTACATATGTAAGCTTGTAAAAACATTTCACCCATCGCATAATAAACAATCAATAAATTCAAGGTATTTCTGGAAAAAAACCCAGAAAATTCCTGTCTTAGAAAAAGTTGTAGACCTGTGAAGATGAAGGCGTTATGAACAATCGAAAGTCTTCGTTTATACATATGTATGCAATTTCGTGGACTGATTAAGATTATACATTAACACCACTGGATGTCGGTCGGTTCAGTAGTCTATGGATTAAGTGTTCTCGCGCGAGACTGAAGGTCCTGGGTTCAAATTCCGCTGGTGGGATCGTGGATGCGCACTACTGAGGAGCCCCGCAATTGGACGAAACGGTTGTTCATTACTTCCAGGTTTTAAATCGGTTCATGATCCCAATAAAAAAAAACCTTATAATCTCCACAACCCTGTACCGATATATATTGGTGATAGTCATGATGCATAGGAACATGAATACTACCTTGGAGACATATTATGCTTTTCAGTAATGAAGTTTATAAAAATTTATGAAATGCTTTTTTCAGTATAACGTAGGCAAAAAACAATATATGTAATGTATTATATAATAATATGAACTTAATTTACATACCAGAAGTTGTTGTCATTTCAGTTGTCGTCGGGGGAGGTGTTGTAGTAGGTGGTGGTGAAGTAGTTGCTGGTTTAACTATAAATATGATGAAAAAAGAATAAAAACAAATTATTCGATGAAATAGACTAGAGTTTATGAAAACTAACATAGTAGATTCAATCCTTAAATATCTATGATCTATTGACTTATAGTGAAGTTTTAAACATATAATAGAATCTGATTGAAATCATGAGTCAACTGAAGCTAGATCAACATGGAAATCCTGAATGCACTGGACGGCCGTTTCGCCCTAGTATCGGACTCCTCAGCACTGCGCATCCACGATCCCGCACCACGCGAGATTCGAACCCAGGACCTATCAGTTGGGTATTTTCATTGTGAATAATCAGTTTTTCTTTAATTTTAAAGTTAAATCAACACATAATAGGAGATTGAAGCAGATTGCAATCATAAATTTACATCAGTTTTAGAATAAGAGAAATATATGAAAGCTGTTTCATCGTAGAACAGGACATCTTAAAAGTGTGCATATCAAGAATTTAGTCGGAATTCAAACCTATGACCTTCTTGTCTCAGTTGACACAGTGCATTATGTTATAGGGAAGTGACCTCCTTTCTTTTGACACAATATGTTAGTGAACTCAATTGATTTTTATGGTTGAATTGATTAGATATGCGATGTACTTTGTCTATATAACAGTTTATGAAATATTTGTTTCTAATGAAGTTGGGTTCTTATCACGGTTCTATCATTGCATTATCGACCATTTTTAGGTCGTATATAATTGTAGGTTCAAGTTTAATTGAAAATATACAGATAGGTGACTTGAAAATATAATTAAACAAAGGGTAAATCCACTTGGTGTTGTTTTACTTGCATTTTCCCATTGTTATTTAGGACAGCAATTGATCAGTCTTATGTTAGCATATGTGCATCCTGTGCGTATTACCTCGACGTAGCCTTAAGTCACCATCCGTTTAAGCTGACGAGTTCCAAATAGGAAGAGACGCGGGTTCTGGATCCCACTACTATTCACTATCCATATTTGCTTAAACAAAAGGTATTTTGTCACTCACCCGTGATATGATAAACTTATTAAAAAATAACAATGATTCATAGATATTACCTTAATTTTGAATGTCAAACATGATTACTTATACTCAATGATCACAATGATTGCTTAATTATTGAGTAATATGCATATAACATCTACTTGTTTGAGCTTAGTGAGTTAATAAATCTAGTGTTCATTCGTCAATAATAAAGTTGAATTTAGATATTTGTTGTTTTGCAATGAAACAATTTGAAATTTATAAGTTATCTGTTATACAACAGTGTTTCTTTAAATATGTATGGGGCAATAAAGTGATATTGACATGAGCACATCAATAAGAATTTTTTGATTGAGATGTTGAATCGATTGGTGTTAGACCAACATTCAGAACCTGGAATCACTGGATGCCCGTTTCGTGCTAGTATAGGACTCTTCACCAAAGAGCATCTATGATTCTGCATACGGAATTTGAACGCAGGACCTTCGGTCTCACGCGCAAACGATTAACTTCTAGACCACTGAGCCGGCCGGCGTTCAACGGTGTTAATGTCTAACTTCAATCAATCCACGAAATTGCGTGACCATTCTCAATTGTCTGAGGTAGATACTTGATATGGATTAGCTCCACTGGTCACGGTTTCTTGTTAGAACTCCGAGAATCCCACGAGCAGGATCGTCGATATGCACTGTTAAAGAGTCCCATACTAGGACGAAACGGCCATCCAGTGCTTCCAGGTTTTCAGTGGTGCTCTAAAATCAATCGCTTTTTAATCTCGATCAAAAACTTAACTATCTCCACAACCGAATACTGATAAGAAATAATTAATGTTGTATTGACTTCTTCAACGAATATTAGGTTTCCTTTCAACATATCTTCAGTAAATTTCCAACTTATTCAATAATGGGCAATTGAACCAATGGAAGTTAAGTTTGTTGTGTACATCATGAATGTTTTTTTCCTTCCATTGTTGATAATTTACTTCATAGTTGATTGATTATGATCTGGCAGTTTAACAAATCTTAAACTTCTGTCACATTTCGTCTTTAAAGATAAGTTTTTCTTTGTTTTTAAAGTTTTAAGAAATCTATTCTTAAGTCCTTTAAAAGGTATTCTTGTTCAAATATAAGCGTTTCAAGAAATGATCACCTGGTGCGAGACTGATAGGTCCTGGGTTCGAATCTCGCGAGGCGGGGTTGTGGATACGCACTGCTGAGGAGTCCCACAATAAAACAAAACGGCCGTGTAGTGCTTCCAGGTTTTCCATGATGGTCTAGTTTCAATTGACTTATGATTTCAACTGTTGACTTAACAATAAATTTATATTTAATTATGTGAAACTCTCTGTGTTTTGATGATTGTTTTCTTTGCAAGATTGTTGAGATGCAATGACAACACTATGTTACTAATACAGAGGTATGGTAATATGTGTTCTAGCACAATGATAATAATTTAATTGATGCCACTATCTTAAAATATCAACTTTGGTAGCTTGTACATGTCCTATGAACCTCATCTCACAGAATTTTGCGTAGTGTATTATTTGCCAACACTGAGTTTGGTTGAAAAAAATTGGAGAGATGATCAGTTCATACTATGGTATGGTTCATTTTATTAACTTGACATCAAATAGAAGAATGATTTGATTAGAATAATATGAATTCATTTTATTTCTTTGTATAAGTCTCATCATATTACTGTTTATACAACTTCGACATTACGAATGTTCATGTACTGTGGTATAAATTTCAAAGAATGAATCAGTTGAATGTGACACATTTTCGACGTAACATATGATATAGTGTATATCAAGGATCTTAAGAAATTGTTTAATTAAATAAGCATTATGGAGACCATACACAAAAGTATTGATGATTCTTTGTCTATGAAATCTTTGTAAATCAACAATCAATGGATTCTTTGAATTGTTTGTTACGTTTAATTTAAAATGTACGATGTATCTACTAAGTACATGGGAAAGAACGGTACTGGATTCGAGTTCCGGATTGAACATCAAATCTAAGATGCAGGTACATCCATTTGACGAGTCTTCAACATGACAAACTAAGCGTTCTAGATTCCAATGTTAGCCATCGTCTATAATTCTTTGAAAAGTTTATTACGTTTAATTTCAAATGTACAATGTATCTACTAAGTACATGGGAAAGAATGGTACTGGGTTCGAGTTCGGGAGTGATCATCAATTCTAAGATGCAAGTATATCCATTTGACGAGTCCTAAAAATGACAAAATACATGTTCTAGATTCCACTGTTAGCTGTCATCTATCTTTACTTGAGACTTCAATCAATATCGAAACAATCCCTACAGTATACACATTAATGAGAAGATCTAATCAAACAATACCAAGTAAATTTGAACTATGGACATTATTATATAAACATACCATAGATATACATTTCGGACTATTAAACAAAACAACAACAACAAAAAAGAAGACACATGTATGTATCATTTACAAATCGTTAATCATGCAATTACTTACCAATCACTTGTACTGATTTACGTATATGACCATTTAAATTCTCTGCTAAACATGTATAATTAGCATTGTCAGTGGTATGTACATTACTCAATTGAAGTTTCGATAGATATCTGACGGTTTGTTTGTTTTTTTGTTTGTTTGTTTTTTTAAAAATAAAGAAAAAAAAGAGAGAAATTTAAAACAAATAAAACGGTGAAATAGTTAAAATAGATAATATCTCTTATGAACTAGGTATCATAAACGAACAGTTTACATGTGTATGCATCTACCCCTACCCCTCCACACACACATACACACTGAGAGAGAGAGAGAGTGAGAGAGAGATAAATACAAAAAGAAAATGATGTGAAAGATAGAAGAAACGAAAGAAAAAAAGAGAAAAGAAAATTACAAATGAAACGTCAGAATCTCAACAACAACAAAAACAAAAAGAAAACGACGAAAAAACGAACATATATAACAGACATAGTTAAATTTTATATAAATAAGGGAATATGCCTATTAATAATATAGGCATATACATATATATATGTATGTACTAGGAATACATTCTATTGTTATAGGCATATCAAGCTAAGAGATAAAAGCTTACCATCTAGGGTAATACAACAAATTTGTACAGTCATAATCAGTATATACATGAAATTTATGGAAAAAAAACTGTACAAAATATGTACGCAAAATCGGAGTATACAATATATAGGACAAAAGCTTATGCATAACTATTACAAGTATTAAAGGGTAATAATAATGATAATAATAATAGACAGGTGCTTTGATAATTTGTAAGCAAATGTTTCCATTGATTGTAGAAAGAAAGTTGTTGTTGTTTTTTCTCCTTAAAGTATTGCATTCAATGAAATGATCAAAACAGATTACTAGTTTAAAGATGATGAAATAAATTAGAAAGATGAGGAAAGGAGTTCACTCAGTCAATAACAATGTAGAACGTACGTACATCAGTTCTAGTTGACATACCACATTAGCACAGAGATTCAGTTGTTGATTCAAATGCCATAGTGGTAGAGGTAGTAAGAGTATAAGCAGTAATTGGAAAGATTAAGGTTTGAAAATGTTATTCAAGGAGTATAACCCAGTGAAATAAATTTGGGAACATGAAGAATTCGGAAGATTAGAAAGAGGGGGGTTGTAAAGAGCGTAGTAATTATTAATAATTGAATGGATGCGTTGATTAAGTCTAAGCAATCATGGAAAACTTGAAAGGATTGGATGATCGTTTTGTCTTAGTATGGGGACTTTTGAGCAGTGCGCATCTACTTTCTGATAATAATCATGATGTGATTACTAGAAATTGTCTTCGAAAGGTATTTCCTGGAGTTCTAGTGAGGAGACGTAACTAGTAGAATTCAAACGGGTCTGTTGTAAGGCAGTGATTTACTGAAGACAATGGTGAACGGTGGCGAAATTTCGTGGATTGGTTGAAGTTAAATATTAACACCGTTGTAGAGGTCAAGTGTTCGCGCACGAGACAAAAAATGGATGAAAATAATTTTTTAAAGATTAGTTACATAACGTAGAATCATTGTCCAGTAGCGGGTTAGTAAAACATTAATACTTAAGACAACCAAAGATTTTCATTTCTAGGAACTTTTAGAGATCTTTTGGATAAGGTCAGTTTGTAATATGGTGAAACATGATACAGGGCCATAAACTAAACCAGTCACGATGTGGCACTGGAACTGTGAGGATCTACCTTGAAACCATTCACAAAAGCTCACAGAACCCTGGATCACTCATGTACATTGTGTGGATTATTTGAGATTTCAAAACGGATAAAATTGGAATGGTGGTAAATATTTATAATCTTGGTTGAAGTTGTCGGAGGTATCGTGGTCTTCAACATCAAATTATCCACACGCTTATGCCTGTTACTCCTCGTGGGTCGCAGACTTTCAACCAACTCTATTCTAATCTCTCCTTTTAAGTTGTTGCCAAGTGCTGTACATTCTTTAGATATCTAACTACAATGCCCAGTGCAATATGTTTTTTAATTTACTTGTTTTACTTTTGCCTTCACTGTTCTAAGTTAGGAGTTTTCCCGAGATGCCGTTTGATGATTTTTGTAATGAATACCCTATCCATCTCCAATACCGTTTTCCGATTTCCCCTTCGACTGGAAGTTGGTATGTTCTCTCCTATAATAAGTTGTTGCTGATGGTAACCAACCAACGAAAACTTAGCATCTTGCGTTGTCAACAGTTTATAAATACTTGTACATTTTTGATGGTGGTTATGGTAGTCCTGCAAGTTTCAGCTCTATACACCAGGATTACCTTACTTTTTTCCCTTGTGTATGTTGATGTCTACTGCTTCAGAGGCTACAATAATTTAGATAATTTTGATCGGTACAAATACTTATGACTTATATTTAACTTTAGTAATCGTTTTTTTAACATAACCAAATCAACTCTTCTATTGCCTTTAGATACAAATATTTTATTCAAGGAATATCAAAGAATTTAGGCAAATCAAACTTCTATTTCACTGATTTGGAATCTCTAGCTTGATACCCAGGATTAATGTTCTTTATCAATTCGACACACACTGAGGAGAGCACCAAACTGCGTCACAAGGCAAGCCCTCACAAGGAATCCTCAAGGCTAAAGGAAAAGGGGAAGATCAAAGAACACATTACGCAGAGAAATGGAAACAGACACGAGAAGAATGAACAATAAATGCATAGAAGTAGAAAGGAAGGCCCAGGACTGAGTGGGCTGGAGAATGCTGGTCGTCGTCCGATGCTCCATTGTGAGTAACAGGTGTAAGTAAGTAAGTAATCGATTGGACTACACTATTAAATTGTTTAGCTTAGTTATCCAAAATTAGATCAGTATAATATGATTAATTTACAAATACAAATGATAAAAAGTATTCTGTACTTATAAGCAAAGATGGATGGTGGCCAGTAGTGAGATCCAGTTTGACGCGTATTTCGTCCTATTTGGGGCTCGTCAACTGAATGTGCTTGCATCATGTAGTTATTTCAACAAGTTATCTGTTTTCTTGTTTGTTTGTTTTAACACGTCATTATGTCTACTAATCACACAACTAGGGCAAGGGCGGCCTGCTTGATCATCTGAGCTACCTGTTCCTGCCATCTAGATATTTCAACAAGTTATCTATTTTTGTTTGTTTTAATATATCATTATGTATAATAATCGCATAACCTATTCTGCTGCGTTTCTGAAAAGTGTACAAGCTTTCGTTGTCAAAGATACAAAAAACTCAATAAGAGAAAATGTGGTTGTTGGCAATATACAACGGAAAGAATCCACATTATTCAGATGTTCATTTAGTGAACTGTTAACATCTAACTGGAGATCACTCAATATTTATCGCGAGGACCGACCAAGAAGAAAGAAACGGAAACTTGTTGAAATACTTTACGCTGAGAATTCTATATTGTACCAAAAAATATAATATTGAATAAAGCTGATAATAATAATAAAAAAATAAAAACCTATTCAGGTGAGTTTCTGAAACGTTCACGACATTTCGCTGTACAAGTTACAAAACAGACCAATCAGTGACATCGTAGTTGCTTGAAGTATGCATCAAAAAGAATGAACATAATTCAGATGTCAACTGACTGAACTGCTAACATCTAACTGGTGATCACTCAATACTTATCGTCAGGATAGATGAATAAATAAGGAGAGGAAACTTGATGAAATACTTTGTGCTGAGAATTCTATATTGTACCAAAAATATAATATTGAATAAAGCTGATAATACTAAGTACACATATATGATCTCTCAGTGGATTTAATGCAGTAAGTTCAGGTCTCATGATGAGGGCTTAACATTAAAACTACTAGTCTGCTAACTTATATTGTTACACAATATTGTAAAACCATCTTTCAGTGTCATTGGTAGGCAGCTGTCTTACAATGATTATGGATGAACCTTTTATCTTACGGTTTCTAACTTGATCTCTTGAAATTCCAACAACCAAATAACTGTTTAGAGATTCTTTGTTTTTAATTGTTATCTGTTTCATATCAATCCATGATGGAGACCTAAAGTTCATCAATCTCCACAAACCCCCTTTATAAAGGTATAATTTATCTATTGTATTAAAATTAAAATCTTTTAATCTGAAAATCTGCATAGAGGACAGCTGACAGACGCATTCCAAGTAAGGACCGGAATCAGACAAGACCATCTACTCTCTCCCTTCATCTTTCTTCTGGTGGTCGACTGGATTATGAAGACCTTGACATCTGAGGGAAAACATGGCATACAATGAACAGCTCAGAACCAAATAAATGATTTGGACTTCGCAGATGATCTAGCCCTCCTATCGCATACACACGAACAAATGCAGATAAAGACAGCCAGAGTAGCATTAGTCTGTGCATCAGTACGCCTCAACATACACAAGGGGAAAACCAAGGTCCTCAGATTCAAAACGGAAGACAGCAGTCTAATCACTCTTGATGGTAAAACTGTGGAAGACGTAGAATCCTTCACATACCTGGGAAGCATCGTCGGTGAACAAGGAGGTTCAGATACAGAGGTAAATGCGAGGATTGGTAAAACAAGGACAGCATTCCTATTATTGAACAACATATACAACTCAAAACAACCGTCTATCAACCAATATCAAAGCCACAATCTTCAATAGGAACGTCAAAACAGTCAGTTCTATCGTACGGAGCTGAAACTTGGAGAACTAATATAATCATAATTAAGAAAGTACAAGTATTTATAAATAGCTGTCTACGAAAGATCCTCAATATCCATTGGCCGGATACCATCAGCAACAGCCTTCTGTGGGAGAAAACAAACTAACTTCCAGCTGAGGAGGAAATTAGGAAAAGACGATGGAAATGGATAGGACATACATTACCCAAATCGTCAAACTGCATCACGAGGCAAGCCCTAACTTGGAATCCTGAAGGGAAGCGGAAAAGAGGAAGGCCAAAGAACACATTACATCGAGAAATAGAAATAGATGTGAAAAGGATGAATAACAACTGGAAGGAGCTAGAAAGGATTGGCCAGTACAGGGTTGGATGGAGAATACTGGTGAGCGGTCTATGCTCCTTCTCGAGGAGTACCAGGCGTAAGTAAGAAGTAAGTAAATCTGAAAATCTATGTTTGTCAGCTGTTAATTGAGATATTGAAATCCTTTAGTGAATCATTACTACTTTAGTTATGTACTATCGGAATGACTGTACAGTCGACAAATTATTACCTGATGTAGTTAGATATTATAATGAATGATCAACATTTTAAAGATAAAACCTCATAGTAATGATTATTTGAATAAAACATATCATTATACTACATTACTAATTATGATTACTATGATTAACAATATGGATTGTTCTATGCTATTCTAATAAAAACTAGAATGATTAAGCGTAGGCTTTAAATAATTAGTTTCTTGAAGAAAAAATAAGTATGTTTCATGAATAAATAGTTTGTCAGGAATTCAAAAGTTGAATGTATGCAGTCGTGACCTTGAAAGTCACTTCAAGATTTCAAATCTGGAACGAATTGAAAGAAAAGGTAAGAAGGAAGGAAGTCTTCATTCAAGACTATATATATATAAGAAAACTAGAACCGAATGAGTGGGATTCTATTGAGATCTATGGAATGTTATTTCATATTCGTGTTAAAGTCCAATCATATATCTGTATGCTTGATAACATGACGAAAATAGACGCTCCTATAAATTTCGAATAGTGATGAGGAAGTTATGGATTATTCAAGCGATATACATATATATATGATGATATCATAGTAATTTCAATGGTTAAGATCATGAGTCAATTGAAACTAGACCACCATGGAAAATCTGGAAACACTGAACGGCCGTTTCGTCCAAGTATGGGACGCCTCAGCAATGCGCATCCACGATCCCACACCCCACCGCGAGATTCGAACACAGGACCTATCAGTCTTGCGCCAGGCGCTTAACCAACTAGACCACTGAGCCGGGATCCAATGGTGTTAATGTCTAACTTCAACCAATCTACGAAGTTGCGCCACCATACACCATTGTCTTCAGTGAGTTACTATCTCACAACAGACCTGGTTGAACTCCACTGGTAACAGCTTCTGACTAGAACTCCAGCAGTATCTCTTGAAGTTAGTCACTAGTGAGTAGGTGAAATCATGAGTCAATTGACTCATGACTTCAACCAGTGAAATTTCTAAAAATATCTCCACAAAACCCATTCTGATAATAATATCATTATTGTCCTAATAATCTCAAATTAAATTAAATCTATTATCAATTACAACTTAGATAATTATTTGAATTTAGTTGCTATGTGAACTACAACAGTAATTCATTGTAATTTTGGTGAATAGTACTGACACCTATATGTATGTGTATTTATATACACAGAGAGAGGGGGGAGGGAGGGGGAGAGAGAGAGAGAGAGGGAGGTATATACATTCCACAAATAATTGCATTTTTATATTTTCATTCATTTCTTTCAATACAAATCAAATTTCAACTATCATCAACATCAACATTTATGATATACAATAATTTTTTTTAATATTCAATTCTTCAATAGAATTATAAATAATAATAAACAATATATGTTCATATACCGAATATGATTTGTTGAAAGGTTAGGAAAGCATATCAAAACTATTTATTATTATTATTATTATTACTATTATTGATATCATTCTCCTTATTCATTCGTCTTACAGATTGTACTATAGTTACAATGAAAAGAGTCTTAGATACTGATGTAAAATTAAAACAAAAAAAGAAAAATTGTTCATCAAAAGAATGAATGTAAGTGTATAAGTTTATGTATGCAAAAACCCATTACCTGTGTATATGTGTGCTTGTGTGCCTGTGTGTGTATGTATGCGTGTGTGTGTGTGTGTGTGTGTGCGCATGTCAGAGTACATGATGAAATGATCATAGTATAGTATAGTATTAAAAGTAAATTAAAACTCTTTTTATGAATGTCAAATTTTGATACAACCTATAAACTAAACTATATTCTATACATCTATCATTAGTAGTATTATGATTATTAGTTTAAAAAGAAGAAAAAAACAACAATGTGTGTATATCACTTAGAAAGGTCAATCTGTCGAACTCGGTTACTTGTTAGATTCAATAATAAATTAATTTCGATAAACAAGAGGGGGGGACGGTAAACATATATATATATCAAAGTATATATACATAAATAGTGAATTACCATTAACGGAATAACTGTAGTTATAAGGATATAAATGTAAACAGTTATTTATGTAGGCCTATATATGTATATATATATATATATATCCACGTATGTTTGTATATGTAGTTCAGTAGGTTTGTATCTTGGTATCTTGGATAAAAGGAGGTTAGTATTCGTTAGAATTCGGTACATTCATTCATCCATTAATTAATTAATTATGTAATTCTAATGAAAATTTTCATACTGATTATATAAATATGAAGTTAATTCCTATTTTAGGTAGTTCATTGAATTATTATTCTTTGAGACTGATAAATAGTATCTATTTATTAGTCAATATTATGTTTATTTATTCCATTATAATTTCAATGATTGAATTCGTGGGTCCACTTAATCTAGACCACTGTGGAAAACCTGGAAGCATTGGATTTCTGTTTCATCCTAGTATATGGCTCAGCATCAGTTCTCATTCATGATCCCACCTCGCGAGATCAAAACTCAGAACTTATTGGCCTTACGCGTGAATACTTGACCTCTAGACCACTGAGCTGGCCGGCATTCAGTTATGGTCAATAGGAGATCAATTTTGATATGATAACTTTACTTGTATTAGTTCTAATCAATGTAGTGAATATGACTTTCATTAAAATTGTGAGTAATTGTGGTTAATAAGTATCAAAATTACAGAGCATCTCAATAAATTCTAAGAACCATATAGTAAATAGTTAATTTGCAAAATCCATCGTCTCAAACTTGACTGTTCCTTTTGTAAATATCATTCCATTGTCTCAGATTTCATTGTTCATGCATTTTCATACCAATTACGTTCCGCTCCGCTCCCGTTCTTTCCTTATCAATCTTCTGTTGAAATAAATTCTATGCCTGATCACTGTTATAAACTACTTATATAGATATAAGTTACCCACACCACAAAGATAAGTAATATTGAATTGTTTGGGTTGTCTAAAATGTATACTTTGATGAGATACTAAGGTTTTCACCAAAATCCATTATCCTGTTCTAGCAAAGCTCTATATTATTACGGGTATTTACAGTATGACATCTATATTCGTTTTTCAAGTACCATGTATAACTAAGTTATTAGTTCATTTTTAAGTCATTAAAGCTGATTTTCAATGTCATATCTACTTTCTCATCTAACTGTTTTGTTGTTGGTTGTTTTCAGTCTATTTAATAAAGTGGGATTATCAATCAAATTCGGGTTATCATACGTCATCCAGATAGTTGAACTTACAACGTTGTACATGCAGGTAAAAAAAAGCCATAAACCGTTATTTATAAGAAATCATTTTGCAGATCCTTGTTTCGAATCTCACGAAGCGGGATCGTGGGTGCACACTGCTGCAAAGTCCCACAATAGGACGAAACGTCCTTCCAGTGCTTCCAGGTACTCCATGGTGGACTGGTCTCAATTAACTCATGATCTTAACTATTGAAATTACTATAATATCCACACAAAAATCCTTCTGACATTAATCAACATATGCTGGATTCAAGAGGTATTTTCTGGAGTTCCAATAAGAATCAGTAACCATTGAAGTTAAACTGGGTCTGCTGTGAGATAGTAACTCACTGAAGACAACGGTGGACGGTCACGCAATTCCATGGATTGGTTGAAGTTAGATATTAATACTGTTGGATTTTGGCCGGCTCAGTGGTCTAGACGTTAAGAATTCTCATGCGGGACCGATATGTTCTAGGTTCGAATCTTGCGAGGTGGAATCGTCAATACGCACTGCTGATGATCTGTCTTCTAATAACTCATGATCTCAACCACTGATTTAACAGATTTGTTTGAAATAATCAAGCAACTGCAACAGTGTTTGTATTAAGTAAAAAACAAATGCTTTTTTAATTATAACAAACATACCGTGATTTTTGAATTATTCCACGTCCTGTTTCTAATCTCCATGGATTTTTAATTTCTGTTTGATTAATATACCATGAAATTAATGGTGTAGGTCGGCCACGTACACGACATGATAATAATAAATCATTTCCTTCATTAACCTTTAATACATCTTCATGATACAATGAACGCATTTGAAGGGGATCAGCTATAAAATATAATGAATAGGGGTTTAATTAAATCATAAACAAGTAAATAATATGAATGAAATAAATGTTTAATAGAATTTTCAAATCTTCAATGTATTAAATCATAGAATAGTCAAGATATTACAAATGGCTCAGTTTACTTATATTGTATATAGAGAATTGTATCTTTATTAGTATAGTTTCCTTTTTGGCATTTTAGATGTAATAGGGGAACATTGGTCGCATCCTGATACATGTAAACTAAGTAGGATATCTTTCCATTACTCACCATTCTAACTGTGTATTTTCTCCGAACTAGACTAACAAATGATTATGGAGATGTGAAAGGGTATTTCTGACAATATAACAAATTCTAAAAAAGAATTTTGACTGAAAAAAGTCTAAAGGAAGCATGTATTACTGGTTCTTGAGTTCTAAGTCACGGTTTCATTAAAACAATCTTAGAAATATCACTCGTTTGAGATAAAATATCAAATAGAATTATAAGCAAAGATGAATTGTGGCTAGCAGTGGAATACAGGATGCGTGTTTCCTCCTATTTTTGACTTGTCTGCTGGATAACACTGTAGTGTTTGAAGCGAACAGTACTGAGTTCAAGTCCCGAAATGAACATCAACTCTGGGATTCAGGTACATCCAGCTGACGAGTTGCAAATACGATGAAACATGCGTCAAACTGAACTCCACTGCTAACCACAATCCATCTTTACTTATAATGTTTATGAATTAGGGCAATATCGAGGCAATCCTCATAGTATGCACATATGCCAATAATAAGAGACTGATCAACTGCAGTCCTAGACATCAATGGGATGATACAAGCAAATAATACCAAGTGAATTTAATAGAATTCTTTGAATAGTGTACAAGTTGAAGGTGTAAAATATATTTTTTAAACAAATTTTCTGAGCTACATTTCACTATGAGAGTATTCCAAATAACATTCAGTTAGTCTTTAACCATAATCACAGAGGATATAACCAGTATCATATAATTATATCTATTTATCAAGGTTCTTTTGTATTAAAGAGAAGTGAAATAGAGAAAGTGTTCCTGCTAATGTATATTATCACCATTATTGTTATGCATTTCTCTTTGAAAAAATCAATACGCTCCATATGAATGTAGAAACTTCAACAACAACAAAATTATTATCCTTACACACCTTCCAATACATATTCAACTAATGACTGATACATAATTCATCATACTTTATGGTCTCTTTCTTTCATTTGTAAGTTGATAATTGATTAATGTAAAATTACACAGATTGAAATCATGAGTCAATTGAAGCTAGACCACCATGGAAAACCTTGAAGCACTGGACGGCCGTTTTGTCCTAGTATGGCACTCCTCATTAGTGAGCATCCACGATCCCGCACCCCGTGAGATTCGAACCCAGAACCTATCAGTCTCGCGCCAGGCACTCAACCAACTAGACCACTGAACCGGCTGGCGTCCAATGGTGTTAATGTCTACCTTCAACCAATCCACGAAATTGAACGACCATCTTCCATTGTACTGAGGTAGACACTTGTTTCTACCCGACACGGATTAGCTCCACTGGTCACGGTTTCTCATATGTGTTCATTCATGACTAGCTTCGTGAGAAAATTCTCAGAGTTCTGGTGAGAAACCATGACCAGTAGAGCTATTATTTATTTATTTGATCTAATTTATAGACAGTTTAAATTTAAGAAATCTTTTTTATACAAAATATCACGTCATTCTGTATAGTCTGTTATTCAAAAATAAATCTTTCTAGACATGAAAAACAAATGGGTTTTTTTAGATAAGAAAACCTTTTTTTCTAATGTAGTTGCTAACTAGAATCGATTAGATTATTAATTAAGGGTATCCTCCCCACAACAACAACAGCAACAACAACAACAACATACGAGAATGCGTTTGTCGTAAAAAAACAAACAAACAGACAAACAATGAAAGTAACTCATTAAAAGAAAAATGTTTGGCATGACATTATAAACACTGAAACATTGAAAACCAATCATTCATTTGAATCATTTCATTATAATAAATAGATGATCAGTTCGATTACGTAATTCATTTCTATAGTGTGTGTGTGTGTGTATATTTTTTACATTTTTATTTATTACGTCATCTCATTTATTTTTTATTTCTATTTTTAATAAGAAAATAAAACTTGATCATTTCAACTGAATACAGTTGAATATCATTGTGATATTTGGTATTACCCAATAGAATCTATGTATTTTAATCTTTCCTATTGATGAGATCATTATTGTCATTCGAAATGTATCAGTATAAAGATTTGTGGAGATTTTGGTATTCTCATCATTGAAGTTAGATATTAATATCATTGAATATGGGCTAAGTGGTCTATAGATTAAGTGTGCATGCACAAAAACGGAAAGTTCTAGGTTTGAATTCTTAGTGTGAGATTATGAATGAGTATTATTAAGAAGTTCCACACTAAGATGAGATGGCTGTCTAATCTTTTCAAGTTTTAAATGGTTGTTTTGGTTTGATGGACTTATGAATTTAATTGTAAAAATTAAAATTTATTCTTTTCTGTTTAAAACATATTTTGTTAAATTTATATGGCTTAATTTATTTGAATCTCCCCATTGATATTTAGGACTGCATTTGATCAGTCTCTTATTAACATATGTGCTTACTGTACGGATTGCCTTGATATTGCCTTAGATTCAAATAAACAAAACCAAGCGAATTTAAATTTCACCCCATTGCACAAACAATTATCTATCAGGATTCAATAGTTAAGTGGATAATGTGATTGTATTTGAAGCGAACGATACTAAGTTCGAGTCCCGGAGTGATTTCCAACTCTGAGATGCAGATACATCCATTTAATGAGTCCCAAATAGGGCAAAACACACGGCAAACTAAATTCCACTACTAGCCACTATTCATCATATTTCGTTGGTTTCAATAACTTTTCAAAGTGTACAATATCAAACTATTCTACTTTAATCAATCAACAATTAAGAAGTCAAATCTAAAGAACTATTCAGTAATGAATGATGTCAAATATGTCGATAGATAAGATGTAAACGATTTAAAGTTAATAAGACTATGTTAATCAACTACTGAATCACCTACTTTAAACATCATTTTCAGTAATACGTTGTTTAATAGTTTGATATGTAAACATTGATACTTAACAATGAATAAGAAATTATTCTATTAGATATCCACCTTAATTTAAAAGAGGTATTTGTTTTCAAGGTATAATTAAGTTAAAAACAACTAATTAGTTCATATTTAATATCCGTTTATTTTGTTGTTGTCCTGGTATAGTCGAGAGTAGAGAGAGTCAGCTCACCCCTTCTCAAAATACTCTCACATAGAAACTTGTATACAACCACTGTCAAGGAAGTCCTACTCACTACCTTCTAGTGGCGGGGGTGTTGTTTATGGAACTAAGAAAATGAAACTCGAATATCCGGTGCTTTAACTGGATTAGTGAATACGGAAGATTCATCTAGGGAAGTTGTAAAACTCTGATTTCAAACCAATGATGTACATAGGCTCCAATGTCCTGAAGGAACAAATGGTGTATGAACCTATTGTTGGTGAGCGGTTACCATGAGACTTCATTTCCTTGTGGACTAGACCTTCAGGTCGAAGACTCTGGATATGACCCCGTAAGAAAATCACCTACTACGGTTCAGGCACTGGGTAGTATCATAGCTTGCATGCAAATCAAGTGAGTTTTGTATTGTATATATATTTGGTGCCCCTTTGTACCAATATTAATGTGTTTAAATAAATAAAATTTACCGGGTTAATTATTTAAGTTTCTTTTTATAACCGCAAACCATCATTCATATACAAATGATAATAAGTAAATGAAAATTATTCACTTCAATATTTTTACTATACAGTTTTCTGTTATATCTTATCATTAACTACAGTTATAGTTAATTATTCAATTGCTTTCGTTTTATTTAAATGTAAATCTACATTCTTATCTAATAATAATATGTATATCTGTATATCATTACAGATAAAGATGGTTATATCATTACTCATAATAAGTGTATATATACATAGATAGATACATACATAGATAGATAGATAGGTAGGTAGGTAGGTAGGTAGGTAGGTATGTAGGTAGGTAGGTAGGCAGGTAGGCAGGTAGGTAGGTAGGTAGGTAGGCAGGCAGGCAGGCAAGTAGGTCGGTAGGTAGGTAGGTAGTAATACATAAGTATTTGTTCTAGAAAAACCAGACAAAGTTTAATACTAAATTTTAAGATAAACTGAAGAGAAATCTTTCATAGCAAACTATCACATCATTAAGTAATAGTAATTAATTCTATGAATCATAAATTTCAATGGTAATAAAAAAAGATATTGTCTAACTCTTATTACTAATTCAAGATGAAATAGATAAAGAGCATATCTATCTATCTATCTATCCATCTATCTATATAGATATAACTCTCTTTTATCGTTGTTTACAAATAGCAATTATAAACCAAGTCATATATAATTACATCGGTATTTTGGACTATATTTTAATGTTATGTTTGCTTAAGAAAGCAGGAAGACTATAAGAAGAAGAAGTGATAGTAGTACATTAAAAACCGTACAAATATTCCAAAAACTAGTAATACAAATCTTTAGAAGAAGAAGACTGTTTTCATCTTGGGTTAATATTAGTTTGGACTCCGCATGGAGCCCCTCTGGAGCTACTGCCGATCCTAAGGCCGGATAAAAGAGGAGAGTTGGGCATAGAGTGAGCGACCCCATCCCATAGAAAATTAACTCGTTAAGAAAACGCCAACCAGAAAAGTAAATAAGTAAGTAATACTAGTTTGATTAAGATTATGAACATTGATTAAAAGATTGCAATAGGTTGGAGTTCAAACATAATCTCAGTAAGTTTTATTGAGTTCTCAAGTGTTTCCCAAGGAATATCAGCCTTTGATGAAATTCAGTTTGAAATTAAAACGAATTAAGTAAACATAAGCAAAGATGGATAGTGGCAGGCA